CCCCCTATGTGTGTGTATTTATTTCGGCCTTAGGCCCTTTTGTGAGACTCACATTGTAATTCCATTTTCCATTTAGTAATACACTTGTTGTGTTTGCTATTTAAATTCCTAAATCTATATCTTAAGAGTGGTTATCTTAAGTGTGAGTTTTAGGTTCTAGATATTTAATTAAGTGTGTTATATCTTAATTAAGTTCTAGACTTAACCCCAAGTTAAGATAAGAGTGTGTAATATCTCTTAAACACCAACTTGGTTTATCCCTTCACTTTACCTTTGCCAATTTCATTTCTCACCATTTCTTCTTCTTGAACCTATTCTTTTCTTTCATCAAAAACCCAAAAAAACAACTCTTTGTTCCACCCCCATATTTTGTCTCCCTCATTTCCTCTTCACCATCCCATAATTCCATCTTCAAATAGCAACTTGATTATACCCCGGGTCTCGGGTATAACATCTGGTATCAAAGCTCAACTTCGACGACTTTCTCAAGTCTCGACGATTACCAGGAGGACCAGCTTCACCTACGTTGCACAAAAACAAGGCTGCTGAAAATTGCTCCTGAAAATTTCAGCCCCAAAGAAGTGGCCACGGAGGAAGGTGCAAAACTAATTTCAACGTGAAACTTTCTAGTTTGGAAGTTTATCTTTTTATCTACAGTTGGCCGCTGATTCCACTCAATTCTGAGTTACGGTTTGTGAGATACGTCCATCCGAAGTTAAGCCCGCAGTTCTGCCAACTGCTTGGCGACCTTGCAACTTTGGCAAAAAAAAAAACCCCAAAACCCACCACCACCACCTTGTTTACTTCAGTCAACCCCACACCAAACCACCCAAAAAACCAATCCAACCAACCAGCCCCAAAAAAAATCACCTCCTTTCTCTTTTGTTCAGCCAAACCACCCAACAATCTCTCCCCAATAAACCATCTCCCTTCCTTCATTCCTTGCTGCCTAAAAACCAGCCCCTACAACACCTCTTTTCTCTTTTGATCATTTAAGCCATAGCTACTGCCCTCCCTTATTCCTAACCTTTCAAAGCCACCAAGACATGTCTCACACCATCCAATGCATGTCCCATGAAGATCTAGCTGCTGATCAAAAGAAACTAAAGAAGGAGCTTGATCTTTTGATGGAGAAGATTGGAGAGTTCACAAATTCAGTGGATATCCCCATGTTTGAAGGAAGAAACGATCCGGAGAAGTTCTTGCGGTGGTTAAAGAAGGTCGAGAATATCTTAACATTCAAAGATGTACCCGAAGGTAAGATGGTCAAGTTAGTGGCATCTCGGTTCCAAAGACATGCCTCCACTTGGTGGACTAGTGTCACCATTAAGAGAAAGCTTGAAGGAAAAGTCAAGGTACAAACTTGGGAGAAGATGAGAACGCTCTTGATCAAGAGGTTCTTGCCCAGAGATTTCCAACAAATGGTACCCAAAAACACCTTCAAAACATTTCCTACAACCATGCCATTTTCTCCACAAGAACCAGTGCATGTATTCCTCCCAAAAACCCCAGCACCAAACCCCTTACAAGCTGCCACAACAATTTCCATTCCTTCCCCTACACCTACACTTCAAACACCATCAAAAACCACCTCCTTTTCTTCCTTATCTACTGCCCAAACTAATCCTCAAACCCATTCAATACCCCTGCCCCAAAACCCCTCTAAAACCATGTCTTTAACACCAAAACTTACTGCCCAAAACACTGCAC